GAGATTTAACGGTCACTTCACTACTTCAAGTGACACAAACATTGCATTGATGTGTCTTCTGAACTTCCTAAATTCTGATTCCTTCTGTCCGGAGTTTGCTGTTGACAGCTGATAAGAACTGACTGAACTATTAATGTGAATGTTAAAGGGAGCAAGTAATACTGCTCTCTTTCATTTTGTGATAGTGTGTTATTTATAAGAAGCTGTGAGGTCATTGGCTTCCTGTATGAGCCACTTCCTGAAAGCTTTTGTTTTACATGGTAAATCTAAAAATGTATTTCTTCGAAAAACTCAGCTGTGTTTTGTTTTCTCTTCTTCTTCTGTCTGTCTCCTGTCTCCTTACTTTTGCTTCTGCTGCATTGCTTATTGCAGAACGGGATGCATTGTGATGGAGGGCACGAGCTGTGTTGGTGGAGTGCTGCAGAGAAAGATAGTTGCAAAAAGCCATCACCACTGATAGAGTAGGAAGAGCTTAAAGCAGTCTGACATGCAGCAGTATTGACAGTCTCAAACGTTAGTAGAGTTGTGAGTTACACAGAGGCAAATAATCAGATTACATCTAACTTAAGCTAAACCTGAACTAGCAAAACTATTCAGCACATTATCTTCATGTTCAGTTCTGATTGTCTAAGGGGCAGTTACTTCTGTGCAGTGCTATGGTTGAAATTACTTGCAGTTTTTCTTTTAGGGTTCTCATACAGTCAGTGAATTTCTGAATGCTTAGTTTTTGAAAGAAACCATCAAATTTCATCAGACTTAAAGGGTTTGGCAATAAAAGGAGATAAGCATGTATGTGTTTGTGTGAGAAAGGAAGCGAGCAGCCAAGCTTTATTATTCTGTGATGATACAATCAATAATGTTCTATGATTTAAAAAAAAAAAAGACTTCAATGAAGTCCATGCATTTTAAAATGTTGAAGTACAATCATGAGAGAGCAATATAAAATGAGCTGTAGCAGGTAAGTGTGTGTGTGTGTGTGTGTGTGTGTGTGTGAAGAGCTCTAGGAAGAATTAGAATTCCAGGGTAGTTTAGAAGAATTCTGTTTTTCAACCAACAAACCAAGTTACTGAAAACATGTATAATTTTTAAAGGGAATACAAAATACAGTGTATGGGTCACCTATTTAACTTTCTTCACTTTGCTAAGCAAGTAGTAGTATAGCTAATAGCTATACTAGCCAAGTAAAGAGAACCCAGAACAGACTGTGAACAAGTGCTTTGGTCTGTAAGCGATCTGAAGTTTTAAAATGTATGAACATACAGAGCTTCTGCTGTGGAAAGGAGAACCTCATGTCAGTTTGAAGGTGCAAGAAAAACAGCAGTTGGTTTTGTGGCTAATTATATACTTGTTCAATTCAGATGAGTTATTTTGTTTAATGACCATCAGAGATAATACTGAGACTTGCTAAACTTGACAGAAGTAATAGCATTGGGAGAGCCTTAAAAATACAAATGCTTCTAAAAGAAACAAACAGTTGTAATAATTTTTAATTTTTTTTTGCCAATCAGCACGCAGTTTTATCGCAGCAATAAAGTCATTCTCCATGTCTCCATCAGGCCTTGCTGCCTGTTGGCAATATTCCTGTCCATTTCATGGTAATTTCATTGGTTATTAGCACTTGTCAATAGCTTGTCCACCATAAATCTCACATCTCCCAAACGCTGTCTGCTCACCAGAATCAGTTTGCAGATTTCTGAAAGCACCCTTCAGACCTCAGCTTCGTGTGGCTTCAGTTGCTGTTGGATGAAGAACTAGACTTAAGTTGACTTGAGATAACCATGTTTGGTGTCTGCTGATGCTTTTCCCCTCTCTTTTCTCATGGATGTGGAGAAGTAGAAGCAATGCCTGTGTCAGTATGTTCTTAATCTTGGGATTGATTACTGAAAAACTTCCCTCCTAATGTGAAGGTGCTGATGTTATTGAGAACTGTGGGAGCGTGCTTTTGGTTTGTATTAGACTCTTAACTTCACCTTAGTTGTTTCAGTTTGTGTCTCTTAATGTGAGGTGCTGATTTACTGTCCTGGTATCACAATGCAATCACTGCACTGTCAGATTCGTGCATGATTTTGATCAGTTCTGAGAAATAAATAACAGATAGGAGTTACCAGTGTGGTTAGACTGAAACAACGTGCCTGATTGTTAGATATCAGCTCCAGGTGGACCTCTTCAGGATTTGTTGCATTCCTCTTTGTTGTCATTCACCTGTAAAGGGAATCTGGGAGTGTTTAATTGAATGAGTTCTTACCAATTCTCTGTCCAGCATACGATCTAGTCACTCAACTGGGGAAAAAACTGAGGACCATGAGGATGAGCTGCAGTGACCTGTGATAGAAGAGGGGTTGGTGTAAGCGGCCTAAATCTTCAGGTTGTGATATACACCAACATGTGTACATCTGCTTTGTAGAAATGGAGTTGGAATTCCAGAATCTCAAGTGATTTCTGGATTGGAGAGAACACCCTGTTTTTTTGATACTTAAAATGCATAGTTTTGGGATGATAGTTGGGCACATAGAATTAACTGAAAATTGGGTTGGAATCAGATTCTTTGTTTTCTGTGGGAAATAGGAACATAGGAAGAAGGCCTGAAGTGCTTTGCAAAATGATCTTCAGTATCTGTATGCTTCTCTGAAATTTTCTCAGTTTTAAATTTGGTGTGGAATAATTACTAACCATCTTTACTAACATCTTTACTTAGGAATACTTCACTGAATTCCTAACTGCGCAGGCACTTGTAGAACTTGTGGAGATGTTGCTTAGGTAAGAGTAATAATATGGATTAAGAGCTGCAGTCATGCTGAGCTGTAATAATTATAACAATAAAGAAAAAAATGAAGTAAACTGAGAGTTAAACAGAAAGGCTCTGAAGAGCACATCACTGCAGTTTCAGATAGCTATCACTAGGAGGACACACAGACCACAACATCAAGGAGCTGCTTGTTTACCACCTCATATTAACTGGTTTGATGCTAGTTTATAAAATCCAGAAAAGTACATTGGGAAAGGTGGCTGAATAACTTGTAATTTGTGGCTTCAGGTATTGTTTTACTCAGAGTGGGGAGTTGTGTAACAGAAGAGAAAGGAGTATGAGAACATTTGGAAATCTCTCGGTGCTTTGTCATTGAATCAGCAGAATGCTGCTTCGTGTGCACATATGCCAGGCAGTAATTGATGACATGTAGGTGGAAGTGAGCTTTTTTTATTGGTTATTGTCCAGTTGTCTATGCAGTAATTTCTAACACCTCTTTATGTTACGGGTTTCTGCTGGGCAGGGTGCTGTGTGAGATGGAGCACTGGCTGGGACTTGGCGCAGCGTTTCTTGTCGTCTCGGCTAACGTTTAACCTGTTTGTGGTCTCGCACGATGTTTGCAGATAGCTTTTCTTTTAGCTGTCTGTGCATGTTTACTTAGATTCTGATGTACAGTGCCGGGATAAGGAACATGGAAATGAGGCTCACTGATGTAATAGACTGTAGAGTGCCTGTGTTGCTGAGGCAAGCTGTTACCTAATAAGGATTTCAGAATCTGACTCTTTCCGTATAGGATCGTTATTGATATCACACATGCAGACAAAGATGATAACTGAAGCATATGCTTTAAATAAAATGACACGAGAAAATGAAAAATGGTTTCAGACTTAAAATTAGTGAAAGATTCATGGAAATAACACCAGATGGAGAGAAAAAGAAAGTAAGACAGATTATTAATAAGTACAATGTGCTACAGTTACATAGAATATAATCTTGCAGGCTGCCAGTGCATGAAATTCATTGTGACTTCTGTAAGAGTTGCTTTGTTACATAAAGTGAAAATACGCCGACTCTTCTGGAATAATACCTGGTATTGCAAATAGGAGCACAGCCCAGTTTTAGGTAGTTCTGGATATGTTACGACCCACTAAGTCTGGTTAGAACAGAACAGAGTTCTGAGAAAGAGATGTTATTTATGGAATTAATACAGTTTCACATCTCTGGATTCGTGTACTTAATTTGCTTTGAGACATTTTCCTCACTATTGCAGCTGGTTTCTATTGCTGAGTTTTGTAAGGCTCAGCAACACAAGCACTCTGCCTGCCTGCAGGAACACTGAGGTCTGGGACTGTTGCATGGATGCTTTACTGAAACTTGTGCTTAAATAAACCTGTTTGCTTCTTGCTCATTCTGTGTTAATCATAATTTGTTTTCATGCATTTGTGGTTCTTCAAGTATTGCTTTGATTCTGAACAGAGCTTGTTCTATTTTCTTACTAGCAGTATTTTTGTCCATCCATTTCTACTCTCCCAGCTAGTTGACTTCATTATTTTATTGTGGGAATCAGTCTTCTTTTGTACCACGAAATCCTGGTGTGCTGCTCAGGCTCTTAATGGTCAAAAAGCAGGAGCACAGCTGGCTTCCATTTGTTACGTGTGCTGGCTCTGTGGATAGGACTGGGCACTGTGCAGATCTGTGGCTTTAGCCCCCTGGACCACGTGCATCTTTATAATTTGAATTGAATTACAGGTTCATCAAGGCAGCTCTTCCACATCAGGTAACATCTGGTTTTACCTGTCCAGCCTTCTCATGCTGTCTGTAGGATTTCTGTTTTAAAGATCCTGCTCTAAAACTAATCCAGGATATTCTAAATAACAGTTGAAGTAAAAGTGGAAACTGCATAATATTACTTACCTCATTAGAGATCTGTAGCATTTTTGTTCTGGTTGTAATTTTGGAAACAAAATGTTAGGCCTTGAAGGTGGAGATGAGGCCCTGCATGGGAGCTGCTGAGTTCAGTGTGACCCACTGATTGAGCACCTGGGGAAGGGAGCCAGTCAACTCTGGGAGCACAGGTGAAGGCAATTCAGCTGTGACTGGAAGGGGTGGAGCCTGGCTTCACCTCTCTTAGACCTCATTTAAGGGCTGACTGCCACTGAAGGAGGATCTTTTTCTGGAGCCCTTCTCGGTGAAGCTTTCCCCTGCAAATCTAGAATCTTCTGATACAGGTGAGCAATTTTCTTGCCTTCCTTTGTAGCATCTCTCTATCATGCCAGTCTTTTTGTTGTCGCACCTTTGTTGTAATGCCTTTCCCATTGTATTGATCTAACTGCTACAGGCTGCTATTAAGGATTGATCTAACCAGAGCAAAGACTTAAGGTCCATTTAATCTTAATGGGGAGTGCGAGGACCAGGCCACAAGACTTCATGAATTGAAAATGCTTGGAAGTTCTGTACTGCTTTTTGCCAAAAGTTGGGTGAAAGTGGTGTATCCTGAAGAGTTGCATTGGGCTAACTGAATGAGGTGAGCTGCTTTTAGAATGAATAAACGCTTCAGTATAGTTCTTATTCTCCCAGAGTATTTACAAAGTGAGCAATTACAGTATAACAGTGTGCATTCTCAAAATGCAGTATTATGTTGGTAGCAAAGCAAGTTTTTTTTTTTTTTTTTCCCCACATCCTTCAAATTAGAAAGGAAATAGCTTGCTGCACTACACTGGATTACATGGCTTTATTTGTTTAGGTTTTTGTTTAACAGCGTAGTAGTTTTTAACCTTTGACTGAACGTGGGTTTTTTGGAGCCCATTCAAGGATTTACATTTCAGATAATCATTCAGATTTGAAGAGAGTTACCAGAACAAATCAATACAGAAATCCTGTTTTGTGAGTAACATCAAATTGAAGAATGTCACATCGCTTCAGCTGAGAGGCTCACAGATTGGCAACTGATGCAGGCTTGGAAGAAGGGTCAGGGCAGAGAAGGCAGAAGAGAGCAAGAGGTTAAAGCAGGAAACCAGGCTGGTGGGCACATTCTTTATTATGAAGCAATGCAGATGGCAGTAGTACTGTATTAGTTTTTATAATGCAGCACATTAGGATACTCTATGCATTCATCACTAGGAGTGCAGTCAGATGTGAAATTCTAATTTTTGCAGCTTTTAGGCTCTTATTACATCAGATCTGCTAGACTCGCACTTTGCAGCCTATGAGGTGTTGCAAAGAGTAAATAAAGTATGAAGCAGACTTCTCCATTCGGTGTTGGAGCCAAAGAATATTAGGAGCTGGAGAAAAGCATTCTTCATTGAGATGAGGCGTAGGCTGAGAGGCGCTGAGATAGCAGGTCAGTGTGTATTGGCTTTTCTCAAGCTGGCCGCCAAAACCAGAATGTTCCTCTGAAATAGTTGCAGGTTTTTCTGAGAATAGATGGAGTGTGCAGTGTGCGTTCTTTTTTAATCGAAAGATCAAGGGGAAAAAACAACGGATTTTTTGTCTTCAGAGATAAAGGGATTTTTATGGTATCGTTTCCATAAATAATCAGTTAGTTTTGGTACTTTTGTGTAGAAGTATGGAAACGCTTGCAGCGTTATTGAGAAACTCCATCAGAGGATTGCCAGTTAGCAGCATCGTGTCTGTGGTGAAGGTGAACTGAATTGGATTGTGGTACCAGACTGGTGCAGGGTTTGATGTGGCTTCCCTCTTACTGCTGGTGTCTGTTACTGTAACCCCATTAGGCAGAGCAGTTCTGTGCAGTTCGGATCAAATTTCTAGGGCGTATTCTATCTTCTCAAAGGTTCTAAGAATAAATGGAGTTTCTGGTATTGTGTGTTACGGATGGTAACTGCATTGGGATGAGATGGGTAACGACAACAGGCTGTGTTGTGTTGTGTAGTTGTTGGCACATCATTGTGCTTTGACCAAAGAGGTTTGTTGTAACAGAAACCAATTGCAGTACCAAACAGTGTCTGTGCTGTCAGCCTAGTCATAAGCAGGTTGGAGTTGGAGAAAAGAAATATTCTTGTGTAGGCACTGGCTTTACTTGAGTCAATCTGATGTTCAGTTCTGATAGGAAGATCAAAGGTGATGCATTGGTCTTTGGATTTGCAGTAGGGTATTTGTGTACTTTAAATGTCTTTAAATGTCTTACGGAAAATGAGTGATGTTGTTACCAAGCGTAGTTTATTGAAGATGAAAAGTGGTTGAACTGACGTGTAGAAGGTCTTCCTTTATCGACGTGATTTGTCTTCAGCAACTTGTGCAAAGTGTGTGAGTGTGTCTGTAGATGTTTTGTACGCAGCATCTGCAGAAGCCATTTTTAGGGCCTTGTTTCTGTTGACTCGCTTTAGCTGGTGCCAGTCTCTTGAGTGCAGTTGTATCAATCCTGTCATGTTCCTCAGTTTTAAGTAGGAACAGTAGAGGAAAAGAGGGAGAACAAAGGGATGACCAGAGCGCTCCATCCCTGTGTGTTATGAAAGCATGCGTGGGAATTGGGTGCCTATGGGTCAAAATGTTCTTTATATTCCACAGTCATTGTTAGTTTTAAACACAGTTTTGATGTAAAAATAGGCAGCCCTGCCTGCAGCAGAGCGGGTTGGAGCTTAATGATCCTTGAGGTCCCTTCCAACCCAAGCCATTCTGTGAGTCTCTTCTGGGTGTGAAAGTCAAGCGTTTGTTTTCCCACAGAGAGCTTTACCAAGGAGTTGTCTTTTAGAACTGCTGGCCACTAATGATGAAGCTCTGGCAGTTTGCTTTTAATCACAGTACTGCCAACAGTTTAATGGAATTATGCCTCTGTTTCAAAAGATGTCTTGAGATTTCTTGGAAGAGGATGGTGGCTGACATAAATATACCTAAAACAGGAATAGAAGTGTGCTATTTCTGGAATAGTTCGGGGTATTTTTCTTTTCTGTGGAATATTTGAAGCTGTTATATCACTAACAGGAATGACAAGCTATGAAGTTTCAATGGGCGTGCTGAGATCAGTCTTGATAGCTCAGTTGAGAAGTCAGACCCTTCCTAGATAGCAGATGAAGGTTAGTAGGGTGTGTATCAGATCAGCGTGGGATTTCTTTGTGGCTCAAATATTCAGCAACGTATTGTTTATGATTCTTTGTGTAAGAAACCACTGGAATTGGAGTTACTTTGTGTAAAATTGAAGGAACTTGAATATAAGTGATAAAATATTTACAAGAGTTGTATGGGGTACTGCATTCTGACAGCATTGTGTGTTTCCCCAACATGTTATCTTTTTGTGTGTAACCACATAAATATATTTGAGCTACAAGAAAAAAATGTTGAAGAATGAAGGGGTAAACTTTTGGATGAGCTGGTTCCAGGATATGGTTACCTATTTGTATAGGTAAGCTTTGTAACTTAGAACGCTTCAGGATGACCATCCTGCCTTTCATCTGGGGTGGGTGGTCACAAGTAGCTTAGTTTGAAGCACTGACATCCCGTTGTGCTGTTTGTGTGCTTTCCCTGGTCACGATCACCTGGCTGCTGTGGGTGTAAGGATCAGATGAGGCAGACTGCTATATATAGGAGAAGTTGTACTCCACTGCCTTTATAATTTCTTGTCTAAGGGCTTTTTTGGTGTTTTTGCTGTTGTTCTCTGGTTAGGTACAGGAGACTTAGGAGTTTCAGGAAGCAGGACTAGTTGTGATGGTGTGTTTCTCTTCTGGAATGATGAAATACCATCTTTTTGTGGAGTACTGTGATCAGGGTAGGAGGGCAGAAGGTTTTTTGTTCTCTGTGTTGTTTCCTTGCCTGAAGACCAGGGGTTAGCATGTCTTTAATATTCTGGGCATGTATGTATTATCACGCTGATACTAAAATACGAATCGTATCTTTTTGCCAAGGATTTCATTTTTGGGGATGAGGGCATGGCTGTTAGTGCCTCAAAATTGCCTAGAATCCTGCAGTTGCCAGTGAGATTGATCCCTCCAGGTTCCAGATGTGGAACAGCAAGGTAGATAAATGACACCTGTGAGTGTCACAGACTCTTCACAGTCAGAGGAGGGCTATTGTAGGACATTTAGGGGGTGGCTTCCCATTTTTCTCACGTAGAGACTGAATTTCGCAGATGAAACCACTGACTCTTAACTTGATTCCCCGTTACTTATGGGGTAACCTAGACAGCTGGTTTACATGTGGGCACCTATATTGTTCTGAAATGAGATAAATACAATCCGGGGTGATAAGCGGGCTTTGATTGTGATGCTTTGTGAGAAATCTTAATTTCTATCAGTGTGTTGTGGTGTTTTTCAGTGGAGTTCTGTAGAATCCAAGGTCTTCTGTCTTTCAGAATGGATATGTGCTAAAACAGGCTTTTGCAGAGAAAATGGGCAGAATGGAGAGATATTATCACACTTCTTGTTTTTCTACTGCGCGTTCATCTTGGATTTCTCTCAGTTTGTGTGAATTGAACAGGAGAGTGTGTTGGACCAGAAAAATCTGTTCCATTAAACTCTAAGTACGCAGCATTCTGTCTGTGTGTCTGCCTTCATCGCCGTCTTTAAAATCTCAAAGATAATAATATTGACAGGTTTTGTTCTGTTACTGTAATCAAATTCTGTAATGCAGTTAGCTGCTAGTCTTACACTATTTGTATGGATTGATTAAAGAGATGCTGAGTTATGGGACTGCATTCCTGATGTTTCCAAATTATTCTGCCATCTCTGGAAGTGCCATCCACTGTTGAAATAATACAGAAAAAAGTTGAATTGTGTTAGTGAAGTGAACGTGTATCTAGCTAAGCTTTCTTATTACATTTGTAAATGTCTGCTGAAGTTACTGGATAGGGTCTTGCTCTTTCTTGCTTGCACCGAGGTGTAAGTTTTAGCTGCCTGTTCAGTTACTTGAGTTTTATGTTGGGTGAGTAGAGAGAAATGGAGGCCATTGAAAGCTCCAGAAACAACTCTTGTCTATGCTCTGCAATTGGGGTTATTCCCACTTTCTTTTTTGTAAATGTAACCATACTTGCTGGAGAGGAAAGCTAGCAGAATTCTCCATACAAATGTGTATAACAAGCAAGACCAATTTGTGTGGGATACATGCAGAATAAAGTGTTAAGGACTGTGGTTTTCAACTGTCAAGATGCAGAGTTTTTTGGGAGAAGCCTGTAACTTGTGATAGTAACAGTGTATGCAGCAGAGGTGCAATGTGCATGATTTTCAGTAAATTACACTTACAAGAATACCAAAAGGATTGGCATTAGATCTTGTGATGAACCTTTTTAATTAGCCATGCTAAAAGAGAGTTCTAAGCCAGTCATAGCAGATGAGATTTGTAGAATAACTGTTCTTTTGGTTAAAGCCTTGTGTCTCTAATTAAAACATGCAGCAGATTACTCCTTGTGCTTCAGACATCTCCTGAGATGGTAAGCAAATGAAATGAAAAACAAATCTATGCAGCTCTTCAGTGCAAGGTGTGATTCGTTAGCTATTTGTCATCAGAACTGGTGTCACTTCTCTGGTTTGGTGAGGCTTGAGCTAGGGGAGTGCTCTGGCTGCACCCAGGGATTGAGTT